CAACGGGTGGAGGGCAAGACTGTGAAATCTTCAAACAAATCACCTTCAAGTCTGGCAAAGGGCAAGAGAAAGAAAGTCCTAGCAACAAGAAGCATGTTTTCTTTCTGGAAACAGAGTCTGATTGGATGCAGAAGTACAAGCAGAACTGTAATGAAATCTGCCTGTATGCAGTTAGTGTGACGAATAAAGCATTTTTGCTCTGCATTGCTGACCCAGGGTCGGATTTTCCACCGCGTGGAACCGGTGCCGAGAATTCCCCTTCCAAATGTCAATCTGTATTCAGGGAATCAGTTCTTCTGTAAGATCTGAAAGCACAACAAAAAGTTAGGACAGGCTGGCCGAATACCTCTGTGGGCTGTTCCTGCAGAAAGAGTGATTTGCAACAACAACAGGGTGCTAAAACCCCTGTCTTCAGATGTGCAAATTTTTTTCTTTGTCTTAGATCCGTTCCCATTTCCTTTGACATCGGATCGGTAGATCCACCCTGAACAATGAGTTCAGCTTACTCGTTTTCAGCTCAACATATCCTTTAGTTCTTGTCTAGAAAGATATCAAACTAACCTTAGTGGTTCGTATGTTTTTGTTTCCTTACGCTTGTGGCTGCCTGATAAGCAGTCTGATAAGCAACTCCTGAAGGAAAACTGGTTTATACTGCCTGGAATTCTTTTTTTTATTATTATTATTTTTTAATTTATTTTTTACCACGCCTTCTGATGCTGATTCCAGCTGTTTCTTACCATCTCTTTCCATGACACTTAGCTTTCCTTACCGGACAATATGCAATACACACCAGTGTCTATTAGGGAGAAGACTTTGGCAGGCGCTAAATGGCAGAGAGGTGGCACATGTCTGCAAAAATCCAACGAGATAAGAGTTTTAATAGATTTCTTTCATCTTGAGAAAAAAAAAAAAAAAAAAAAAAAAAAAAAAAAAAAAAAAAAAAGGGAGCCATAAGAATTTCTGAGGGCACAGATCGTATGCAAGCGAAAATGTTGTTTGGTATTTTTTTTTATAAACATTTGTTCATATCGGTGATGCTTGCCATTATTTTGAGGGGAGAAGGCACTTCATGCCGCAGCTGAGAAGAGGAACTTTATCCCCACCTCATGCAAAGATATTCCCACCATTGTTGTTAACTGTTCTTCTCTGAAGGGACCTTATGAAGCCGTTCTTGAACAGCTAAGGACAACACAGAAAATCAGTTAGTGATAACTAACATGTAGTTCTTAATTAGGTGAAGGGTGGCTCCCCAGCCAAATCTATGCACATGAGTAAGTATGTGATACTGATGGCGGGGGTGTGGAGGGATGCTCCTCCCGGATAATCTGCCCCTTGTGTAGGCTTGGAGTTTGGACTGCTGATGGGCACAGCGCCGGCCTGCTCCGAGCGCTGCCTGTGCAGACTCCCCCGTGCCACAGGGAGCGAAGGGACGCTGAGGACTCCGCGCCGCCCCTTCGCTGCGGGCTCTGCCGGAGCCTCCCTCCCGCCCCGGCCGGAGCTCCCCCCACGGCCTTGTGGGTGTCCGGGGCTCGGAGCCGCCGTTGCAGCCGCTGTGTAGACGCGATGGAGTGTGCCAGCCTAAAGCCCGAGGAAATCGTGAAGGAACCAGCGTGGGGAAATGGAGAAGAGAGGGACGGGGGGACCCGGTGCTGTGTAAGTAGGCTGCCAGTCAGTGCCCTGCTGTGACTCAGCCCTGAGCCCGACCGCCTCAGGCTCTCCTCTCCGATTCCTCCATCCGTGACTATTTCCCGTATGAGTGAGCTCTGCCACAGGTTTGGGCATCAGCATATGGAGGGACGGGGTTTCTGGGGAGGAGACCCATACTTCCATACGGGATAAAACTCGGATCTTACTTCAGCAGTTCCCACACTTCCGCGTACAATCACTTTTACCTCAACACCCATCCGAGAGAGAGCCTCAGTACCGAGAGGGGAAGCAGGGCAGGATTGCTGCCGGCCCCACGCCGGGCCCTCCGGGGCAGGGTGGGCGAGGTGGTGCGCTGCGGCTAGGGAGAGGATCTGCTCCGGGACACGGATGAGGGTGTGCACATCCCCTCTGTTTCCGCGCTTACCACTGAAGCCAGAAAAGGGTTAATTTGGGGCCCACGAGTATGATAGCTCCATTCAAGGACTTCCGGCATCGGTGCAAGAAACCGAAGGTAATTGAACCCCTAACACGAATGTTTCCAAAAAGAAATAGACAGATGAGACAAATACAAAGTGATTACGGGAATGTGTGTGCAATTAACACCTCGGGTATAAGGCTGGGCCGGGACAGCAGCTGGGAGCAGGGTGGGACAAAGCTCCCAGGACAGAGAGGAAGGAGCCACGGCTCTGCCTTGGGAACAGCCGCCGAGCTCCTGATCGCAATGGGCACCTTTGCGACCATCTCGTCTGACCTAGGCTGAGTGAGGGTGGGTCCCACCACCGAGTGAGCCTCGGGCAGGGCGGACCCTAGGCATGCTCTGTGAACGGGAACATGGAAATCCACGAGTGGATAGGTAGTCCCAGAGCTGTGCTGTTGTGCCTTGTGGAAGCTTGACCAAAGACACCCGAAGTGAAACTGGTAAAAGATGATCTATCATCAGAAGTGCGTAACACACTCATTCCCGCGTCGTCAGGCATCAGGAGAAGGAAGACCTGATGCCCCTTTCCAAGCGCTTGGGGCTCCCAACACAGAGAGCTTGTCACAGTTAACTTAGGGACAGCTTCTCTCGACAGCCCAGTGCTGTGTTCCAGTACACTGCTTTCTTCAGTGTACACATCATTCACTTCCTTAACATTCCATAATGTTTACCATAAAACGGTATGCAAACACACACATACACAGTGTGTCACCAAAATACACACCACACTATGCTCCTGAAAAAGACAGTGCACCTCAAAACACACCTTAGATTTTCACTCCCTGACGCAAACATCACCATGCACTGTCTGACACACATCACACGGCACCAACAATGCACACATCGCCCTGCATACGGCACTGCCATCGCTCCACACCTCCCAAAACACATCACACCGTGCCTTCAGAAACACAGGTCGCTTTTTCCACTCCAAAACACATAGCTCTGGGCCCCCCAATGCTCACTACCCTTATACCACGACACAAACATTGATCCACGGCTCCCCAAAACATATTGCCCTGAGCCAAACAACATACACATCACCTTGCGTGATGATGGACACCCACATCACTGCCTCAGCTGCGAAACATCGGCCCGCTCCTCCCCTACACTCGCATCACTCTGCACCGACAAACTACACATCACTCCACACCCACAATATTGCAACCTTTCTGCACCACAAAAACTCACATCCATTTGCTCCCCAGGACACACAGAGGACGACGCATATGGCTCTGCCGCGATGCCGAACACATCACTCTTCTCCCCACAGCAACACCTGTCATTCCGCATCTCCATGACAACACATGTCACTCCGCATCCCCACAACACACATTGTCCAGGACCTCACCGAGCAGCCCAGGGTGAAAACTCCCCTCGCTCCTGTCAGATGGGCCTTAATGAGTCACCAGCCATCAGGGATGGGGCCTTGTCATTTGTAGTTTCCCAGAGCTGCTATAAAAGGGCTCCCGCGGGCAATGGCAATAGCCAGTGCTTTATCAGCGGTGGTTGTTAGTGTCTGTGAGAAATACGCGTTGGCTGCGATGCCCAAGCTGGCCAAGTCCGCCCCTGCACCCAAGAAGGGCTCCAAGAAAGCCGTCACTAAGACGCAGAAGAAGGGTGACAAGAAGCGGCGCAAGAGCCGCAAGGAGAGCTACTCGATCTACGTGTACAAGGTGCTGAAGCAGGTGCGCCCCGACACAGGCATCTCGTTCAAGGCCATGGGCATCATAAACTCCTTTGTCAACGACATCTTAGAGCGCAGCGGGCGAGGCCTCGCGCCTGGCGCACTACAACAAGTGCTCCACCATCACCTCGCGGGAGATCCAGACGGCCGTGCAGCTCCTGCTGCCCGGCGAGCTGGCCAAGCACGCCGTCTCTGAGGGCACCAAGGCCGTCACCATGTACACCAGCTCCAAGTAAGCTGCCTCTGTGCCCTGTACCACACCTGCTCAGCCCAAAGGCTCTGTTAAGAGCCACCGATTCTTTTATGTGAAAATCTTTGTCACTGATGTTTTCTGACAGTTACGTAACTTCTCAGTCTTCTAAGCCTCACTTGCATAGTGTCCTTTGGGACAAGTTTTTCAGAGGTTGTTGCAGTTTTTCCTATGTCTCTCGAGTCCGAGGTCTCAACCTGATGCTGTAAAACACAAAATGACAGAAACTTCGGAAACGCCCATCAGGGGGCAGCAGGGGCTAAGAAATAGCAGTCGTTGACGCGCGATTAGACCTCTGAACGTTAGTCTGTTCTGAAAACATTAACAATCTTGTATTAGGAACCTTAGAATAGAAAAAAAAAAAAACCCACACCCACAAAATCAAAACAAAATAAAAAACAGGGAATAGCTTAATTAATCCTCTAAGGCATACATTTCAAACGGATTTTTTCCAGACAGGGAAGACCAATGAAAAAGCAATAAAAAAAAAAAAAGTGTTTCCTTATGAATTACTTAAATCCTCAGACAATTTTAAACTACATTGGCATATTTCTGATAACATAGAACTTTATAGTGTGAAAACGGGACAGGAGTGAAACCGGCCTGAGTGAGGGAGAGCAAGCACCATAAGCACTTTCCCTCTCTCATTTCAGATGCTGAGCAATGGCACTCAGGAAGCAGATGGCACAGGGAAGGTGCCCTACAAACAGCTGCAATCAAAGCAGCCCACAGAGCACACACACAACGGGCACT